TAAGAGGATCCCTGTATGCTATTATGATCATTGAACTTGATTTTCAACTTGACTAGCTTGAGAGATGCCTCGGAGATTTATCTCTGGACATTCTCCTTAGGATATTTCCAGAGAGGGTTTACTGAGAGAAGATTCACTTTTAATGTAGGCAGTTTTTAACTGTTTGTCCAGTACCAGAAGGCACAAGGGAAAGCAACATGCCTATGTGTGTTTTAGCTTCCCCTTTAGAACTGAGTCTGTCGGTTGCTTTTGCTATGATCATTTGCTGATATAAGTTACCAGTTTCTCTTCCGTTCCAAGAACTCAATCAGTGACTCTCTAGAGAGCTTCTAGACTTTCAGTGCTGGATTGGTACAGCAGAGGCATATAGCTTTGTGGACTGACTTTTTCTGGTTCTCAGACACATGGAGATTCTTCTTTTGAGAATTCTCGGTTTAGTTCTGTACCCATTTTAATTGGGTTATTTAGAAGTTTAATGTCTAATTTCTTGAGTTCTTTATATATTTTGGAGATCAGTCCTTTGTCTGATGTGGGGTTGCTGGAGATCTTTTCCCATTCAGTAGGCCGCCTTTTTGTCTTATTGACTGTTTCTTTTGCTTTACATAAGCTCCTCAGTTTCAAGAGGTCCCATTTATTTATTGTTGCTCTCAGTGTCTGTGATACTGGGGTTATAATTAGGAAGTGGTCCCTTTATTTTTGTTTTTACATAAATTAGCTGAAATTAGTTTTCCATGTGGAGGAAGCCTTGAAGACTTCAGATATAAAACAACTCATTATGAGCATTATTTCACTTTATACTGCATTTGATCTTTATGCCCAATGCCATTTGATCTTCATGGGCAGTTTGATTTAGAGCAAGAATCCCATTCTCAAAATATTTATTCACTCTGAATTTAGAAACACCCTTTGAATAACTTTGGGTATTTTGGGATTCTCATTCTTTGCTTTCTATATTACACACTGGGAAATGTCTCCCGGATTTGAAGACCAGTCTGGATATCACCTTTTCTCAGGATGGCATCACTTGCCATTTTCTTCAGGCAGAATTGCTTCTACTTTGGTAATTTCCTTGAGACTCTAGGCTTTCCAATTTCCACCATTATAGAACTTTCACAGAGTACTACAATCACTGACATCTCTTCCTTCCCCAAATATTTATTTTGGAAGTATATATGCAAGAGTTTGAAGAAGGAGGATACCTTTGTATGAGCAACTTTTTTTGTGTGCTCATCATGGAGACAAAAATCAATAAGGAAGTAAACTAGAGTCTTATAATTTTTTCCATAAACCAGACTGCTAGTACATTAGTGCTTATCAAGCAAGGAAAATGTTGAAAGCAGAAACAACACTATTAAGAGAAAAACCAGAACAAAATAACCAAGATATCCTGGGATTTCCGAGCTCTCTGAGATGGGCGACTGGGAAATGGAGGACACGTGTGGAGGCAATTTTCAAATCTCACACGGCTATTTCTTGTTTATTATGAAGTATCATGTGCTGGGGACATTGAAAATACAGTGGCTAAGTCCACATTTACAGTTTTAAAGAAAATAAAAATGAAAATTGTGCAATGTCCCATGCTTTACTTAAGCACTAAAGTTACAGTTGAGAAGGCATTAAAAGAAATAAGAATGAACACATTCTATTTAATAGCTCACCAGCAATCCAGTGGCCCAGCAACAGCCGGATGGCATAGACCCGAATTCAGCTACAGAAATTGCTGAAACTGTTTTTATTGGGCATTCTTTTTTTTTTTTTTTTTTTTTTTTTTTCGAGACAGGGTTTCTCTGTAGCTTTGGTGCCTGTCCCGGAACTAGCTCTTGTAGACCAGGCTGGCCTCAAACTCCCAGAGATCCACCTGCCTCTGCCTCCCGAGTGCTGGGATTAAAGGCGTGCGCCACCACCGCCCAGCTTATTGGGCATTCTTAACTGTTGAAATAATATTAAGCAGTGATTTGAATCTTCTTTGAGTTTTTAATGACCCATTTTAACATATTACACACTTAGAAGAAATTATTCAAAATTAGCATTCAGATGTGCAGTGAAAACACCATAAGGTTGTTTTCTAATAGATATTCTTATAATTAGAAAGATACCATTTCTTATTTTCAATATAAAATATAAAATAAAAAATAATCTTCCTGGAGGAAAGAGGACTTTGAAAGAAAATATAGTGTAAATAAATGATTCCTATAAATTTTAGCGTGTCAGTTGAATCTACTGCTGAAAAGTGAAAGGAGGTCTATGGTTGCTGAGAAAGGAAAAATCATTTATTTCTTAAGACAAGATTCTGCATAAGCTGTCCAACCCCAGTGGCCAACTTAGGTCACATGTACATTTGAGCAATACTGAATGGAATCCGTAGGTTGCATGTTTGCGTGTGTGTATGTGCGTGTGTGTGTCTGTGTATGTGCACACACACATTATAAGTATATGTGTGTATATAATGTATATACATTATAACAATTATAATGGTTAAGATACTATAAATTTGTGGGTAAAGGACACAGAAAGAGGTAGAGGAAGCTACAAGAGTGATGTAGATGCAGTTCCCAGGCATGGAGGTCAGAAGAACACTATTCAAAAGTTAGCCTACTTGGAGAAACTTGGAGAAGACACATTTAACTAATTAAAATTTGCTAAATGATTTCAAACAGAAAATTAATGCCTATACAGGCATAACAAATACCAAACATTCTATAGGAACATTTCACATTGACTCTGACTTTGAATGGAGACTTAGTATAACCCCTTAATAATGGCATCCTGGGAAGCTAGCTGAATGATAAGCAGACATCAAATATAGAGCCAGCCCAATAGTTAGGTGAACCCCAGGGAAATAATTGCTCTTTAGTGCAATCTGCTCTTAAAATCGAAGCAGCTACTTGACTTCAAAATCCAGTGTTTGGACATCCTTCCTGCCATTTGAGGTTCTGAAATTCTGAGCAGCAACACTTTCTTTCTAATTCATTTCTATCCAGCTAAAAGATATACACTGTCATGAATTTAGCGTATAAATATTTTACAGATTAAATATATTTGCTTTCATAGTGGTAGGTTCAGTTTTCATTACAAAAATATAAAATCTGATAGAAAGCAAATTATCTGATGGAATTTGTTGTTTAACATGAAAACATACCCTGGTGGCAGAATTATTTGAGAGATGCTCACATAGTAATGGGTTTTGACGTTGGGAAGTTGTACTTATTACCAAACCTGGTTTCTCCCGTGGTAATAGCTCTCTCTAGTGTCCTCATGACTGTTCATTATTTTAGAACATTATTTATGGTCACATAATATTAGTTTTGTGTACATGACTATATATCTGAAATGTTTTTAGTAAAGAAGTGTCTATTAATGTGAATTATACAAGACAATTTCCCTTTATTTAGTTTTCTATGTGGTTTCTGTCTTGCAAAGGGGCAAGATACAATAAACACAGCTACTAAAAATACTGATGATTTTACTAATTTAAAGGAAGTGAGTGAATTACAGGCATTTGCCCTGCTTTCTGGAGGCTCCATCTTCTGTACTTTGCTTTTGAATTTTGTTCCTCATGACTCTATCAAGAACTTACCTCGTTTCATTCATGACAAGTACCATTATGAGAACTCCCTTTGCTTAAGCAATTCTGACTCAAGCAATGGGTAACTTTAGCAAGAGAGTGATAATTTCCCTTAATTAAAAACAACCAAAAAAGCTTAGCATATAATATATTTAAACAAATTCATTTTGCATACACTTCCTAGCAAAATAGTATCATGTAAAATGAGACAAAAGTCAATTGGTTAATGAATCTTTTCTGAATCTTGACAGTATTTACAGCAATTTAATGTGCCACAAACAAGCCAAAGACTGTAGACAGTGTTTTTGTTTCCCAGTCTCCCAGACTCAAATAATCATATAGAAACTATATTAACTACAACACTGTTTGACCAAAGGATCAGGCATATTCCTAGCTAGCTCTTAATTCTTAGATTAACTAATTTCTATTAATCTGTGTATTGCCACGAGGTTGTGTCTTACCAGTATGGCATCTTACTCCTTCAGTGGCTACATGGTGTCTCCTTCCACTCTGCCTATTCGCTCTCTCTCTCTCTCTCTCTCTCTCTCTCTCTCTCTCTCTCTCTCTCTCTCTCTCGATTTCCCACTTGGATTTATTCTGCTAAGTCATTGGCCAAAACAGCTTTAGTCATTAACCAATAAAAGCAACACACATACTGAAGGACTTCCCACATCAGAAGACCAAGTGCTCAAGCCCATTTTCCTTTAGGAGAGCATAGCTGCTGTGTTAGAATGAGAGTCCCCAAAATATAAAGTGTGAAAAACCCTTAGACAAGGTTGGGTATATTCCTATCCTTTTTCAGATGAAATAGCTGAGATCTAAAATAGTAAAACTACTTGAAAAAAAAACACATAAAAAGATGAATTTATGAGAAATCCAGGGAAAAAGTCTGAATTTTAAATGTCTAATATGGTATTATCTAATTATATCCCAAGGGGGAGGCGACTGAGTAGCTTAAAATATTTTCTCATGGAAACAGAGAGAAAATTCCTCCCTCGACCTCCAGAAAAGAAAGCCCTGCTGCGGTGTACTCTCCTGGGCTGACTGGACCCTTTCACTCCAGGGTGTGTGATGCATCATCACTTTCCTGACCACAGTCCCATTCCTCAGCCCAGCTGCAGCTGTTTTCCAGGAGTACATAAAGAATCTGTCCCCTAATTACAAAGAGCAAAGCCAAATCCTCCAAAAACTGATCTTCTTGTTTTCAAATCATCAGAATTTACTTCTGTATGTTCAACAGTAAATGATACGTTATAACCTATGTGAATAATTTTTGTGGTTATCTATTATCACCAGGGACAGGGTGCTGCATTGGATATTTTTAACAAATTGTTGTGGAGATAAGGGAGAAGAGAACAACCTAGGCAGTAATGTATGATCCCGGAAATGCAATTAACCAATCAGGAATCATTAGATTTTTTTTTTTCCCATCTAGGATTCTGGGCAAACTTTTCCTTTGCTATTTAGAGCTATACACTGCAGATGCTGCTCCACATTGCTTCTTAAAGAAGACTTTGTGCTCTGTTGATGCTGAATCATTATTACTGAAAATATAAACCACTTGCAGATGGGAGGCTTCCTGTACTCTGAGGTAAACTGGTTTTATTGTTAGGCTTCTTGCTAAGAAATTGAGCAACTAGAATTCTGTGGAAATAAATATCCAGCTACCTTAAAACCTGTGTTATACTTCAGCAATATTTGTAAGAAAGGAAATCAACAATAAATCAAAATATAAAGTAGATTATGCATGGATTCATTAGTTAACATAATTAACCTAAATATTCCAATAGATTTATTTTATTAACCTAAATATTCCAATAGATTTATTTTATATGAGCCAATGTTCTATTGACTGAGGCTGTACCACTGAGCACAATGTCAGAACTTCCATGTTCTTATGGAACTCATGATCTAGCATCATTAATGAGAGAAAAATGAGAGCTGTACAAAAAGGATGATCCAACAGAGCAGGACTGTAACAGAAGTACATGGCACTGAAGTGGTGTTAAGCTTAGGTATTTGGGAGCAGTTTGCTATCAGCTTTAATTAACAACTGCTGGACAGAGGTCCTGATGTTACTAATTGAGAACTGGGGATTTCTACTTTCCCTTTGTCTTATACAGCAGAAGTAGAGAAAAGTTCTCCAAAAAGCATTGAAGGAACTTAGCCCAAGAGGAGCCATAGCTACATGGCTGTGTAAGAGAAGGCTGGAATCCAGGAGAGCGTTTTGAGAAGTGATATGGCTTTACATCGGAGGCATTGTTCACTCGGGAAGTTAGCTGCCCTTTGTTTGTGTTTTTATGAGTTTGTGGGGCCCGGGAGACTTGGCCCCGTTTCAGGCTCAATTCCTGTAGAGTGACTAGGAGAATCACATTGTAAACTGTATTATTCTTAAGAGCTAGTGAACACGGCATGCCTTTCCTCCCTGCCCCACACAAAGATGGGCTACTTTGATTTTTATCATGATTAGAACAGGTACCTGAACAGTTAGAGCAAAAAGCAAAAAAGATATATACATATATTTGTAGCTTTCTACAGCATACTTAGGATAACTGAAACACCAAGAATGCATCAGCAGAGAATGATCAGTTACCTCAATCTCTCATGTCTCCTAGGAGGGAAAACACAAATGCCCCCTAGGGTGGCATGCATTATCCCAGGACTAATGCAAAATAAACAACTTACAACCCAAACTCAAGATGTATACCGAAAACCCAGGACCAAGTCATTTATCAATTCATGCTTCAAACATTAACTAAGAATCTATTATATATCAGATATTAGTGAGTTTTCCAACAGAGTCCAGAGGCATCAGGGACTCCTGGAGCTCGAGTTAGACGTGACTGTTAGACCTTGCATGGATGCTTAGACCTGAACTTTAGGCCTCTGCAAGAGCAGTGCCAGATCTCTGCCTCTGTGCTGTCTCTCCAGTCCAATCACACATAGTTTAAGATGGTGAGCCAAAGGGTAGTGTTTGAGGAGTTCTTTCTTTAATTTATACAGCACAAGCCAGAAAAATGCAAATTTTCTTAAAATATATAGCATACCTATTTTCCTTTAATAGACGAAGATGGGCAAAAGGGTGATTCTTAACCTATTTCCTGCTTATATTTCCCCAATCTTCCTAACTCAAACTGGATAAAATGTTTTATTTGACGTTATTAAAAATACTATGACAAGGGCTCGTCTATGAAAAACTATAAAAGATAGGAGTCAGTAGAAATCTTAGTGAACTCCCTGGATGTTTTCGTTTTTATGTCTTCACTGTTCAAACAATGGAATCTTGAGTCAGAAGAATGGGGATTACTCACGTCCTCTCAGTCTCAACATAAGAACGACAGAGTTGGAATGAATTCTAGATTCCTGTCCTCTCAGGGCTAAAAGTTTAAGAGAGCCACTGGAACATTCCTCTGATTAATGACTTGACTCAGAGGATGCCAACTATTCAAAGACAAAAATATGGCCATGAGGGCCAAGTTGTCTTTGAGGCTATTTGATTGAAAGGAAAACAAAAAAACAAGAGAACAAAAGGAATCTGGTTTCTTCGTTAGCCCAGCTCTGTGGCCCAAGCCTATGGGAGTCTGTGTTCCTTGCTTTCTTCTTTTGAAAAATTCTCTTTCTTCCTCAGAAATCAATTTGCTGCTTGACAAATAAACCCATAACGTATAAAGCCAGCTTAAAGGTTAGGATAATTGAAGAGGAAGCATGAGTTTATTAGCAAGGGACCACAGGCAGCCCAAGCTACAGCTCTGGAGGTGGGTATCTGCTTACAGTGTTTGATACATGATCCCACAAGTCTACCATACCATGATGGCATGGATATAAGGACAAAGGGCATCAGAGGGAAAGTGCAGGGATCCAAAAACCATCCAATATATCTCTTTCCCATTATATTTGAATTTTTTCAGTATTAACAAAGACAGAAACTGACCCGTATTGATAAAGTGATCTCAGTGTATAGCCAAACATTATAGATATTCCTTTAACAGAAATGCTTTATATCGGTTAGTGTAGTTCCTTAGGAGATTTAGAAGAACAGTTGAAGTAACTAGTTATACTTAAATATCAAAATATTCTTTCACATAACCTTAAAGTCTGTCAAAAGCTAGCTTGTGCTGTATGATTTTAGAGGCCTTATCTGTGGAAGTGAATGAAAGGTAGAAGCTGGCTTCAAGTGGTGTTTTTCTAGTATAGAACACTAAGTTACGAAGGTATTCTTCCACCAAACACCGGGGAGACTTTTGGTGTATCAGAAAGGGAATTTTGGCACTACTTCTAGAATCATACTAGATTTCCTTAGCAGTCCCTTCAAAGTCTGACAGCTTCACTTGCTCAGTGAGGACTCCACAACAGACACCTCACTCTAATTCCGTGTGACAGATATCGAACCTGCAGCCAAGAAAACTTTAAAATTTAAAAATGACTTTGGATATTTCTGTAGGCATGAGGTTGTTAACCTTACTTAAATGTACTGAATACTCTCATTATTTTGGAACATCATCTTTCTCGATTGTACTATATGGCACACACACACACACACACAGTTATCTTCCTATACACATACATATATATCTCCTGTCTGGAGTTTTTAAATAATTCATGGTATTTCTCATTACAAAACCAAAAAGTCAATTTAGAAAGTTAGTAAAATATTTATGGAAGCTGGGGACTATAAAAACTTGGACTTTTTAAGGAGAAAAAGGCAGCGGCATTCCTTACGTTCTCCCTTTCAATAAGAAACCATTTAAAAACTTGCATTTTTTCAAAGAGTGATGATTCCCTCAAACAAAGCTGAGCCTGCAACACTGTACACCAAGGTGGATGCCTGCCACTCAAATCCCTGCCATGCCGAAAGCTATTCTGATACAATCAGAGGGAAATAGAGTTAGGTTGATGGGTTTACAGAATGCTGTCTGCATGAGTGGCAGATGCTTGTGCCGTAATCATGTTATGAGCACTCAGTTTTTATTGCAGAACAATTGCTTCTAATAACTTTTGTGTTTGTGATCAATGTGTTACAAATTCACCTGAATTTCAAAAACGATCTGAGAAATCTGAGGAAGTGTTCTTCTGTTGCGTTTCTCTTCATACACTCAATAACAATAAAACAACTGATTTGAGCATGCACAGAGTTGTGGATTCTGACAATCTGTGAGATCTCAAATACATAGCCAGTTTGCCTGGTCCATAGAAGACCTGACACCATAGTTGGATGATTATCCATCATCAGTTGCTGTTTGTGGACAGTGTGATTAATAACTGCAATTCAAGCATGATGGGGAGCTCTGTGATCTTTATTGACTCTGTCGCCCGGCAATGCTTTCTTTTTGTGTGGTTGGCACTCAGGTTCTGCTGCCTTCAGTTATTGCTATAGCCCATCACTATTTCGATTGTGAGACCATTCCCTTTCTAAGAACTCAGTAGCAAATATCTGTTGAAGCAAGAGCAATTTTTGTTCATTTCACAGAAATACAGTACATGATTGTGGTCTTCTATTTCATTCACGAAAAATTTGTAGGAAGTGATTTCTTCTTTGCAGTCGTTTAATTTACATAAAATGATTTTACCTTCTTCTTTGGACTATACCACTTATGATAATAATTTTAGTCCTTCCTTCTATCAGCATTTCAGCTGAATGTTCTTAGTAAGCTTGCAAAATATTATTTAAGATAATATGCATTTTTAACTACAGAATAATTAAATCTACTAAATTTTCTTTTCAGTATATATCTATGTAGTACTTTTTAAATGTTGCATATACTTAATCACATGCACACATATAGTGAGGTACTTTCTTTGAAAGGTGAATTTATATAAATTAAATGTCTTCCGACATTTAATCTGAAGTGTTAAGAGTCAGTCTGAGAAATTGCTTTTTACTTCAGTTTAGTAAATAAAATATTTTAAAACAAAGTATGGATCTGCTGTACTTAAGGCTGTGTTGGAGTGAAGAAGAGACGACTAATTGTCCATTCATTCCTTGGCTGTGAGGTTTCATTGCCAACAGTGGCTTCATTGGGTTATCTAGTTATGAGAAAGAAAAGAAGTCATAGCAGCCAATACAAAAGACAAATCCCAAGGGCTGTCTCTATGGCCAGCGAGGAGAGGGCAATAGATAAAGAGATCGTGAGGGTACAAAGCTCATCGGCGGCGACAAGGGGGGCTAGGGAGTGGAGTGGTGCTTGAGTGTGTTTGTCTGCAATATGCAAAACCTTAGGTGTGCTTCCTGGGTCTGGAAAACATATTTTTAAACTTAAAATGAGGGAGACTTATTAGCTGAGAGTATTTAATGCACATTGAATATGATGGTGAAGGATGACAGGATTCATGGTTGGGATAAAATCCTTGAGAAAGGGAAAAATAGTTGGGTCATAATGTTCTAAGTCATTCATAATATAATTAAGTTTGCTCTGTGTTGCCTCTTAAGCCTCTAAGATGAGCTTATGGAGATGTCTATTCCTTAATCTTTTGTTGTCTCTCCTAGAGCAGAACAGTACATACAACGAACATGTGCTAAGTGAATGGAAAATGCATAAATAAATTGAGTACCAGTGTTTGTCTAGGATGGGAATGAGGACTGTTATCTTGCCA